TTTTTTTTACTAAAGGGTCGAATTCATCTACATTTTCAGTTGATTTATTTGTCCTCAAATACCAAAGAGAGCAATAAATCGGTAAAAAATTCAATGTAGGTCCATATTTGTTGCAATCTCACATCAATGGATATTGATAGAAAATGTATGAGAATTTTCTCAAAAGAAATTAGTGAAATTGTTAGAAGATATTGAGGTTGAAAATAGAGAAATCATTAGTGAAAATTAATGATAATCAAGCAAGAAATGAGAAAACACTAATGGAGGTGGAAGGTAGTGCATCCATTGGAGAGAGAAGGGAAAAAAAATTAAATTTTAAAAATTGATTTCTAACATGGGAGAGAGAAGAAGAAGGGAAGGAAAAAAACAAATTTTTAAAACTGATTTCCAACACGATTCTGACGTGGCAATGATGTGGCGTTGATATGGCAATGACTTGGCGCGTGTGTAATATACTTGCCACTGTGAGACTGGTTTTGTATTCTTAGGGGGGTATTTATTCACTTTAAATGAGATTAGGGGAGTATATAAACACCCGTGTAGTTGAAGTACTAAAGTAAGTTTTCGTGCCAAGTTCAGGGGGTTTTTTATGTATTTTCCCCATAAAAAATAATCTCTGCATAACTAATACAATCATTACTAATGCAAGCATTAATGATACCCTCTTTTTAGCATTATTCTTATGCGCCCTACCAAACAACCCCCAAGTGTTTTTGATTTAGGACTCAACTTTCCTCCTCTCTCTCTCTCTCCCTCTTTTGTGAAAGGATGTCGCGACCCAACCCACTGGGTCATGCGAGCACCTACTCTAACACCTAGATAGGAGAACCCTTTCACCCAATTTAATTTAGGCCATGTGGAAATAAATCAAAATTAAACTAAACAACTTATTTATATATTGAAATACTCATAATTCGTCAAATTAAAATACCTTTGTAAAGAAAATACATTGATCCCCCCAAGGAGCTAGTCTAAATAGGTACAAGAGCTTCTAAAGAGTACAATTTATGAATGAAATAAGACACAACTCCCACCATAAGGAAAGAAGAGTAGAAGCTGTCGGAGATCATCTTCGTCTTCACCTATGAAACATTATTGAATTTTCCAACCAGACTATGCCAAGCGGCATAGCAAGAGTAGTATCAGTACAAACAACACGTATTGATATGCATCATCGGCTGGCCAAATTTCACCACATAACATCATGTAATTAATCAGAAGAAACGTGCAACTTGAAGATAAATTAAGATACCGACCCTTCAATCACCACTCTTACCACAAGCAGTATTCCTTGGAACCCAAACGCTCTATCTCAAGTCACCTACCTACTTCCGTTGCCAACTCCACCATCTGGCCATTCCACCCTCATATCAGATCATAACCTAACCCTTCTATCACATAGAGATTCCCCGGAGACCAAACTGTTACTACTCTATTAACCAACCTACTTATCTTCCTCAAGTTCTCATGTCAACACCCTTGCCCTTGACCCATTTTAATAAACCACATTCTAGACTCTTTACTAAGCCACCTTGACTTAAATCCCCTTATCAAATATGTTCTAAAAACTGAACAACCATAACCAGTCCCAGCATTTTAACTAAGCACAAGACCCTCAACCATCAACATAACCTAGTTAACAAAACAAATAGGCGGAATGACCTGGGAGACCCCTGTACTTGACTCCATTTGTCAGCTGAACCCTTTTACTCATCACTTTGCCAAATGAACCCTTAAACTCGATGAAACTTTATTTTCTAAACCCCTCTGACCATTGACCGAGCTTATGTGGCATTAAAATGATTGAGTTGGACAATTGTGTGACCACACACGTTTTAAAGCAAGTGAATGCGATATTTTTATTTAAAAATTATTAGACAAAATAATAATAATAATAATAATAATAAAATTAAAAAAAGAAAAATCTCAAAACCTTTCTTCTTCAGTCCACCCCACCCCTTCTCTCTTCTTCTTCAGCCCCAACCCATCCTTTTTCGCTTCTTCTTCAGCCCTGCCCCTACCCCTTTTCTATTCTTCTTCTTTGACCCATCACCATAATCATCAAATATAAAATTTAAAAAAACTTTTGCAAGAAAACATATCATTCACCATTTTCATAAATTTAAGATCTATTTCTTGAATTTACTCATAAATATATTTTTCCCAACTTGAAGTTTTCTTGATTTTTTTTATCAAATCAAAATAAATAGAACCTAAAGCATGTGCAAGAGCTAATTACAATCTATCATATTTTATGATTGAGAAAACTTTTGAGCGTGAACTGTGAAGAAAGATGAAAATGATGGTTTTTTTTATTTTTGGAGTGAGGCGTAGATGGTGGGTGGGAATGAAGAAGATGAAGTTGGAAGGGGGGAAAGAGAGAGAGAAAATTGCACTTTTTATTTTTTAATATTATTTATTTTTAAAATTTAATTTCTGATGTGCCATTGGAATAATAATAATAATAATGACGTGTCATTAAAAATGACGTGGTATTTCATGTTTAGAATGAGTGTATTACACGCACACATATTAGATGAGAAAGGGGTTTAAAATATTGTGTTTGAATGAATTTAAGGGTCCATTTGGTAAAGTCACAAGTATAAGGGTCCAACTTACAAACAAAGCCAAGTACAAGGGTCTCCCAGGTCATTCCGCCAAACAAATAACATACAATTATAATCACAAATATAACATAGCCTAGACTCCTAGTCCTCACCTTGAGTTGATATGCACAATAAACATGAACAACATAACAAGCCATACCTAATTCATCACATCTTTCAAGTAACTCAGATCCATCATCACTAAACATCATCCACAGTGTTTAACATGCAAACCTGTTCTACACAGGAACCATTCCAATATTTAAACACAAGATCGACCACTCATGGACCAACATGTAGCCATCTAATTACAAGGAAGTAAATTTGGTTCTCTCATGAAATCCACACACGAACTGGTAGTGTATCAACGTGCTAAATGAGCCAACCGTTAGTAAACATGTACCACTGCGGTTCTTGGGCCAACCAACAATCACAACATGCACAACCACGATCACAATGAACAACCACACTTGAAACCATAAGTAAATTAAACAGGCTCATTGTATGAGATTATCAACATGAAGTTATTTCACATTCACCTTTTATTTCTGAACATGCATTACACGAGCATTTCACATGGAACAATCAACATGAACACACACATACATATATACACCTATATATATATCAATAGCCCAATACTGGACCCCTTTTTTGAGTGCACATTCGTTCTTGGAAATTACCTCCCTATAATCCCATGAATTAATACTCTTCCTGTTTGTAAAGTTCCCCTTGATTACCACAAGTTCCAGAAATGGCTATTACCCAACAATTTCATAACATTTAATCTTACAATTACTAGCAGACCACCCCATCAAGAAAACTCAAGGTTAACAATCAAGACTAGAGAGCTCAACCCTAGGTCATTATCTTTCCCCGCCTTAACAATAATAAACAACTTTTAGCTGCCATCCAGACTTCGTGTCCGAAAACCTATGCATGAAATCTCCCGTCCATCTAGAAGAGTATTATGAAATAGAATACAGGTCTAACTATTCAGATAAGAAAACCTAGCCTACTTGGGCACCAAGCAACTGTTGCAGAAGTATGATCACATACCTTGATTCCTTTTGTGAAACATAGCTTGTTTTGAGTCTAAAATAACGACACAAATACAAAATGCATCACAACAAGCCTAAATATTTTCGGATTATATCCAAATTCCAAACCCTAGGCAAACCTCATGATTATTCCACCCAAACCAGGGTATTCCCACCATTAATTCACCTAAAACTACCAATTTCATGGTTACATAAGTGAATTACGATAAACAAATCAAGAACAAATGTGTTTATAAACAACCCAAGGTTTTACGCCCTAAAATCCTCATAAACTCGGATTTTCCCCACCTTAGGATGAACCCAACCCTCCCCTAGGGTCACATTTACGTTTTCTAAGGCCTAGGAGTCGACTACAAAAAAGTAAGGATTGGATTGCCCACCTTTACGAAGATTCCTGGTGAAAGACTATTAAAATTTGCTCTAGGTCTCCCTTCTCCTCTCTAAAATGTTCTTGGGTGATTATGAACGATTTTGGGGGTTTTCCTACATTTACAGCGACTTATTCCGCTATAGCGGCCCAATCAAACCCCAATAGTGTCCTGGGCAGTCTATTTTTTCCACAATTAGTTCACTTGTAATGACGGGATATGACATTACATAGGATATTTAGGGGTTGTTTGGTTTGAATACAAGTTATGATGAAATTATTTTTTATTGAGTGTTTGGTTTATTGTATTCAAAATAATATGCATTGCATAAATTTTAAGAGCACGTTGTTTGTTTACAAAAATATCCTTCACTTTGTTTAAATTTTTGTATTTTCTTTGCAAGCATTAGTTATTCATTAATAAAAATAAAACTTTCGTCTTATTTGGCTTAAATATTTTTGTGTGTACATTTCCATGATGGTATCGTATGTATTTAAAAATAAAATTTTCTTCTTATTTAGCTTTAAAATAGAGCTTTCATCTTAAATTTATTAAAGTAAAAGATGATTTATGAGAAATCAAAATATAAATAAATATAAGAATTAGTCAAATGAATTCATTAATAAAAATTAGATTTATGTAGTGTAATTTTTTAATAGAAAATATGAAGAATTATCATAAAAATAAGTAGTGAAGGTTGTGAATGTTATTATACATGGTATTAAAAATAATGTAAATATACATAAATGTGAAAAGTGATGTATAAAAAAGATTTAAAGGGATATCTTTGTCATTTACGTATTTTATCCTGGGATTACTATACTACCCAAGGGGAGGGATAACTTATCCCAGCATTAATTATTAATCCGGGAATACGTTATTCTGGACTTGCCAACCAAACAACAAATTATGTGACACTATTAATTTAATCTCGGAACTATTTAGTGTTATCCTTCACACCAAACGATCCCTTAGGGATTAAGCTTATCTGGGGTCAAGAGTTTCCTATTATTAAGTTTCAACTACAGATATGCATGTCAGGAGTGGGGATATTGTTTAATGACTAAAGGCTAGGTTTCCTTGATGATTATTTAGGGTATGTGTTTTCTTGTTTGATTTAATGTGAACTGTTATTTCGTTAATTATGTTAATCCTTATTGGTATAATTGGTGGACTCTTCAGAGATGAAGGAATAGTTTTGAAAGATTTAACTTCAAAATGGGAACCAAGTGATCGGAGTGGAAAATGGCTAAAGTTGAAGCCTGATTATGTTCGACCTGGCTCTGATTTGGATGTTCTTATTATCGGTATGTACTGCTTACCTAAGGTTTCTGTTTATGTCTTTTGTGCCAATTATTCTCTTGGGCTAACTTAACATTGTCAACAGGAGGCTACTATGGTTCTGGGCGACATGGAGGAGAGGTGGAATATTCCATCTGTTACTTAGGAGCTGTTTTTGTCCATGGAATTTTTTTCCCTTTTCTCAATTCTTTTTCAAAACAGCGTTTGGTTATGCATTGGACTGATTTTTTGATTTTTTTTTTTAAAAGATGGGTTTCAAGTTTGAATTAGTGGTATTGGCCAGTTTTTCAAGTGAAATTTTCTCCACTCACAAAATTTAAACTCTTTATCAAGTTACATGCATGTCCAAACACAACTTCTCCAAATAAACTTTTTCAACTTAACTTCAAATACTATTTTTTTTTTCAAATATCACATTTTTATATCCATATGCTTACTTAATTTGTTCGCCCACTTATTTGCTTATATTTGTTATGAGTTTAACTCTAAATTTTCAAATTGATACTAGGTAGCTCAATTTCTGGTGGGTCTTGCTGAGCCTCCGGCTCCAAATACATATCCCAGAAGGTATATTTATGTTTTTGATGGTTTTGTAAATGAAAGAATCAGCATATTATGTCAATTTTTTAATCATTTTCATACCTCCTGTAATGTGTGCTTCGATATTTTACTATTTCTAGAATTTCGTTGAATGCTAGCCCTTTGGACAACATATGCAAGGAGCTTATTTGAAGACTTACTTGTAAAACAAGTCTGTTGCAGTTGAATATGTGTTTGAGTATTTGTAGTTTTTTGATGATGTAGTTTTTGCAGAGCATCTTTGAAAAGCACATGCAAACCAGAACTTCGAAAAACAATGTTTGCATATAAAGTTTCAAAGAACTTAGATAAATATGTACTTAGTATTTTTTTTTCACAAGTTATTGGAAAAACTATTTCCACAAGTGAACACCAGATGTTTCAAATTGGAACTATGTTTGGTCAGGTGGCAATGTTACGGTCAATTTGTCTAGCACCAATATGTACTCTAGCTGAGATATCTATTGTTTCAATCTATTTTTTAGTTGTTTGCTGTTCCCAAGTATAGCAAGTCTAAAACTGACAGGTTGCACTGACTTGAAGCAAATATTACTTGACCATGTTTCTCTGCTGATTTGTAATAGAGGGTCATTTGCATTTTAAAGAACAAGGTGTGTCTAAAAAGAAATATATGCAAGGATCGTTTCTATATTCAAAAATGGCGTCTGAAACATCACTGTAAGTTTTTATACTGGGTGTCCATCACAATTGCAAAATTTAATGGGCTGGACTATCATCACATTTGCGAGTCATACTTTGCATTTGCGGTGCTCAACCATTACAGCCTCCTTCTCATTTGCAGTTGCATCTCCACATTTGGGCCAGTTTTCTACATTTGTGGCTGCACCAGTTCTAAATTTTTCAGCAACACTCAATTGAATTAGTGTTGAAACACCCCCGAGCCCTTGGATTTCAACCCCAACCATCCCAACAAGTCCCAAAATGGTTATACAAACTTATTCACAGCTTCAAACGCAATTTCAACCAGTAACGCTCAAAATCAAGGGTCGGGTTGTTACAATTCTTTAGTTGGATGCTTACCTTCTTTGACGAGGTCTGGGAGAATGTACGCTGGTTTTTATTTATTTTCTTTGTTTAATGCCGGTTTCCAATTCATCTTTTTCTTTTTTTTGTCAATTTTGTTACTCTAGTTCACACATTGTAAATTTCACTCTCATTTGGTTGTTTACAGGTTTTCCATGTCAACCTTGAATCAGTGATCAACGTCCATATGAATATAGATTGCTTTATCATTAATCATGTAGTGTTTTACCCGCTCATTTCAAAAGAGTATTCAAGTCAATCTTGCATTAATTGATTGAGAATGGTGGACAGTCCTTGTATCCAGATTGGTTAAATTGTGGAATCTTTGTGTTCCACAGTGATATTGACTTCACCACTGTTGTATGAGTCTTGAGTAACAAGAGTTCTGCTCTTCCTGCTGAGTGTTGTATCTTCCTGCTGCAATAGCTAGTTCAATTACTCTTAGACTACAGGAAAGGGGCTATTATTTATGTAGAGTACTGTAGTTCTATGAGATGTCTTTAAACGTAGCATGGCAAGCGTCATATCTATACCTGAATTAGTTTCCAAAGTAATTCAATAGGGTTATGAGCCTTTTCAGTTTTCTGAAAAGTTTTCATTGCCTTTAAAGACTAGTAAAAGGAATGTCTATCATTTATATTTAAGATGACTGATGTGTATTTCCAATACTTTAGACTCGAATACTGATTTAAGCATATTTTTGCAGGTTCATTTCTTTTTGCAGAGTGGGCACTGGAATTTCTGATGAGGAACGCAATATCATAGTAACTCGATTAAAGCCTTATTTCAGGCAATATTTCCGTTGATGTAGCTTTAGTTTTCTGTTGTACCTTTTATTCTTGCACTATTAAGAATGCTTTTCTTGCGTGTTGCACCTTATCTTGTGAATAATGTACGTTTTTACTTTTGGCAACTGTCTGAGTTGCAACAGATACAGATTTAGACATAGGTGTGTTTCTAGTAGTGGACTTCTGATTGTCCACCACATTAATCTCTATGAGAAATAAAGGAGAAAAGTATTATTTCATTGTGTTGACTATATTATTACACCGAGCCCTATTTGTAGACACTACATATAATCCTTTTACGTGTAGGAGATTATATACAGTCCTGTTTCTATTCTAACACTCTCCCTCAAGCTGGTGCATATAAGTCATATGTACCATGCTTGTTTTAGATGTAACTAATAGAAAGACCAAGCAGTTATTTGATCCAAACTTAGCTCTCAAGTTGCTATGACCATTGCTTGATATTTTGCTTCTGCACTAGATCGAGCAACTACATTCTGTTTCTTTCTCTTCCAGGACACCAGGACACCAACATACTGCCTAGTAAAAACACAATATCCAGATGTAGAATGTCAATCAAAAGGATCACCTGCCCAATCGACATGCTCATGACCTTGATCCTTGAAGAGTAGTTCTTTGTATGGAGTTGACATAATATATCGTAGAATGCGAACAATTGCATTCTAGTGACTACCACATGGAGAATCCATAACTAACTCACAACACTCACATGAAAAAAAATGTTAGGTCTAGTCACTTTGAGATAACTCAACTTATCAACCAACCGCCTATATCTTCTAGGATCACCGAGTGACTTTCCCTGCCTTGGTAGGAATTTAGCATTCAGATCCATTGAACTATCAATGGGTCTACATCCCATCATTCTTGTCTTCTCAAGAATGTGTAAGGCATACTTTCCTTGTGAAATAACAATGCTTGATCTAGATTAAGCAACCTCTATACCTAGAAAATACTTTAACTTGCCATGTTTTTTAGTTTAAAAATGTTGAAAGAGATGTTTTTTAAATTAGTGATACCATCCTAATCATTGTTTGTGATAACAATATCATCAACATAAAACACCAAATAAATATATAGATTTGGATAGGAATCTCGATAAAACACAAAGTGATCAGTTTCACTGCGAGTCATGTCAAACTCCTGAAAGCAGGCGGGTTGTACCACTTATTCTTCTGTCAAAAGTAGGGAAGAGCAAGTGTCTGATCAGATCAATCAAGCGATAGGGGCAGAGACTTTACTTCGCTAGGACGGAGTTGCTGTCGATTGAGGATTGGCCGAGGGGACTTCCATCATGTAGCTGGGTACAAATAAGCCAGTTAAAGACGAGTAGGCAGGGCGTTAGGCTAGTGCCAGTGGGGTACGTAAACGAGGACAAATCACATGGTTTTGTACTGGTCAGTTTTGAGCTGTCAAGTGACGATTGCTCATCTCTTAAGAAAGGATGCGGGGGGCCTGCCTTATAATAAAGGGGGTACTCTCTTCTCTGATGTGCACTATATTATTGTGTCCTATTCCTTAAGGAGTGTATTACTGTGCTAAACATCTAAACCAAGTTCGAGGAGATTGTTTTAGACCAGTCGATGCAATCAACATATCAAACTACTAGACTCCCCCCTAAGCAAAAAATCCAGGTGATTGTTCCATATGAACTTTCTCCTCAAGGTCACTGTTAGAATAATCCTATATTAGTGTTAGAATAGAAATAAGTATTTCCTACTTAGAATAGGAATAGGAATAGGAATAAGAATAGGAATCCTAGTTGGAAAAGGATTCCAATGTAGTGTCTATAAATAGGGTCTCAATGTAACAATTTAGATACACAATTCAATAATATTTTTCCCATATATTTCTCACATGGTATCAGAGCATTGGTGAGAAACTTCAAGTCACCGTGTCAAATTTCGGCGACGACGGTTGGGACTGATTTGTGTCATCTTTCGTTCTGAAGGTGTTGTGCGAAAGACAACACCATCACGAGGCTCGGGAAGCTCAAGCAACCGAACCCCAATCAGATCCACCGGAAAACAACCCCCCACGCACCCCTACACTCCGTTCGAAGGTGGAAATTTTCCGGCGAGATCTGTTCACGCGCTGGCGCGTGAGTGCTGCTCCGGTCATCTTTTTTCGAGTTGTTTTCTTTTGTTGGGGTCGCCCAGTATTTCCGACCAGAACCCATTCAGTTTTCTCTAGATTCGATCACCAGAATTAGGGTTCCGGTGATTTTCAGGCAGTTTCCAGCGAAATAAAAAATTTCAGGCCACTATGGGTAGATTCCGGCAGTTTCCAGCGAGTTTCTTACTCTATTCAAGTCAAATTTCGAAAAATGTCTTTCGGGTGTGATGTTTTTGGCTCCAAAAATACGGGGATTGGAAGTTTAAGCCTTACAATCACTTCAGAACCACTAATGGGAAGTTCAAACTATTTAGCTTGGGCTTCTTCAGTTGAGTTGTGGTGCAAGGGTCAAGGTGTTCAAGATCACTTAACAAACAATGCTTGCGTTGTAGATGAAAAGACAAAGTCTAGTGACAAAGGTGCAAAAGCCAAAGCACAATGGGAGAAAGTGGATGCCCAATTATGTAGTCTCCTTTGGCGCTCTATTGATTCTAAGTTGATGCCCTTGTTTCGCCCATTCCAGACATGTTATTTAGTTTGGGAAAAGGCACGTGCTTTATACACTAATGACATATCTCGATTTTATGATGTGATAGCTCGGATGACCAACTTAAAGAAACAAGAATCCGTTATGTCTACTTACTTGGGACAAGTACAGGCAGTCATGGAGGAATTTGAAACGTTGATGCCTATCACTACAAACGTGGTAAAGCAACAAGAGCAAAGGCAGACATTGTTTCTAGTTCTTACTCTTGCTGGACTTCCTCCTGATCATGATTCTGTACGTGATCAGATTTTAGCTAGCCCTACA